ATTAGCGTTTCTCTGGTATCCGATCTTGCACGTCTGGTGATTATGTATAGCCTTCCAATGTGTCCAATATACATTGATGACGTGTCCTATAACCGCCTTTGGTCAGTTCGCCTAAAGTTATGAGCAGTTCGGCTGTAAGTGCCGCCTCATATCTTATTAATGTTTCCAGAATCTTGGTTGACGTAGTGCTCATGGCTCCATTTATATCCAAGCGGCATGTACGCTGAACTGCTTGTAGTGGTTTGATATTACACTTTTTTTCCAAGAAGTCCACAAGATTATTGAAACATAACTTAGAATTGTTTTAATTACACTTTTTATAAAGCCAATGTGTCAAAGTAGGACTAAGGCCACATTTCTTTGTGCTTCTTCAACGAGTTTCATCAGATCCGACGTTGATTGTAATGTCGGACAATCGAATGGTAAGTAAACAGATGCAAGGTATATGTTGCCGCGACCTTGCTTCAGCACCGTTGCTTCCGTTAATGTTGATAATCCTGATGAGAGGGGAAAACATAGGTTCTTGTTACATAAGATACATTTTTTCGGACGAGACCCTGTATTAACGTGATTTAATCCAGAAACCTTGTTGCGAATCATTCAAGGTTCCTGAATTAAAGCTATATGTATCTTGTACCTTTGTTTATTTTAGCCATCAGAGCGTTGGTAGACGTCTCGCTCCGATGGAGTTTTATTTGGATAACCTCAATCACGGTCATCTATTAAACTGTCTTCCGGCGAGTTGGTGATACCCTCGTCGTTGTTTGGATTTGTCTCCTCCGGGAAGCCTGATGCAGTGGGTACTATTGATGGCAGTGGACACTATTGATGGCACTGCGGTGTCCTTATCAGACCTAGGAATAGCAGACTTTTTAAATTGGCACCATCCCAATTTTGGAAATCACCACTGCTCTGTAACAAGTAATTTGATTCCTCATCCTTACCCGTACTGGCTAATGATGCTTTGGGCACCGTGTTAGGTATTTTTGTGTCCTTGTCGGGGACAGGACACAAATGTGGTCTGTAACTTGCGGCTTGTAAAGGGCAAAAAGTTTGAAAAGCGTAAACGTGTTGCCGCCTCAACGCGTGTTGTATACTTCCACTTTAAATCTGGAGGTCCACACTACGCGTCTTCGCGGCAATGCATTTCGTGCTTTTCATACATTCTTTGCATCCTACGCATAAAGTTACAAGCTACGCTTCTTAAGCGTCAAATTGTTGCTATTTACAAAGAACTTTGCGTTTTTTCAAGTTTTTTATTTATGTTTTCACAATTTAACTCGTTTTAGTTAGTTAATTGTTAAATATACATACATTAAAAATAGAATATAAATTGCCAAAATCAGCTGACATATTCGTACGACACTTATGACGCTTACAAAAGTAGAAAGTAGATCTACTTTAAGCATTCTACGCGTCAAGACATCCTACGCTTTTGTGCTTGTTACTTGTAGTAAACAACAACATTTGTTCAATTCACAATCAAGTTGTATATTGTACCTACTGAAGTGTAGTAACAGTGATTGTGAACAGATATTTGCAGCAAGTCATAAGTTTATGTTCTCAATAATAAAAAAAAACAATCAAAACAAATATACATAACAATGTCAAAAGATAAAAAAAATCAAAAATATTAAATTAATTAAACATGCGAAGTAAACCAAATTAATTTCTTTGAATTTTCAATTCTTTTATTTTCTTTATTCCACATTTTAAACTAATAAATAAACAGTTTTTAATAAAATTTAAGATTTTTTTGTTTTGGTAAACAGCTGTTTGTTTTTGATTTCAGTGTTACCACTTTATCGTTTTTATGCTAAAATCGTTTGAATTTTTTGTTTATATGTTGAAATAAACAATTGGCAACACTAAACTTTTTTTACAACATTCGAAAAACATATGAAAAATTGTCGTAGGAGTTGTATAGAGCTTTTGCATAGAAAATACCAACAACATTGTTATGACTATTGTAGCAGCTGCTGACATACAACGCATACAACGCTACAACATCGATAGTGAATTGAACAATTGATTCTACTTTTTTGACAGTCGGGTAAAATACGAAGAAGCGTAGAACGCGTGGTGTGGACATCCAGTACACAACACGCGTTGAGGCGTCAACCAGAGATACAAGCCGATGCGAAATGATCGGCGGCGCAACCATTTTTGGTCGGCGGCGACGGCTTATTACAGAAAATATCAGCGGCGGCTAAATTGTCGGCTCAATTTAACTTTTTCTTTAGAAATTGACCTTATAAGGTTTATTATCTTGAAATATCTTTGTATAATAGTCTGTTACATAGAAACCTGTCTCTATATAAGTTTTTTTCTGCAGGAAATTGACATTTATAGTAGTTTTCACAATTTTAATATTAGCACAATATTGTGTGGCAACTCTTTTCAATTTGCCATAAGAATTTAAAATAGTGGCAACTCCGTTCAAATTGGTGAAATTATGGCGCAATTTACATGAAGACTTTTCAGACGTCTGTTTTTTCCAATTCTCTTTTGAGAATCTTCCAAAAAATCATGAACATTTATACGGTGATTTTTTACATGCAACTATGCATGTCTTTTTTTGATGTTTAATTGTATGATCCTTTTTAATTACTTATTCGTAATAAAAATAAAATGAAATTTTTAACATAAAAACCATTCAATTTGATTAAAAAAAAATTTAATTACACGCTATAGTATTTTTTTAATGCAAATTTTAATGTTTTCATGTAAAAAAAAGACATAATTATTTTTTTACATGAGCATAATATCAACAGTACGAATGAGTTTAAAGAGGAATGTCAAAAACAATCATGAAAATCCCAAATCATGTTTGTTTTCTTACCCCCCATTCTTCTCTACCCCGCTCACCACCAATCATCGACAAACATGAAAACAGACGTCTGGGCAAACATGAAAAAAAATTATCGTGTAAATTGGGTGTATGTTCTGAAATACATGTGCTATTCTAATTTTTATCAGCGGCTACGTTTAAGCCTGCTTAGCTTTTGAGCCGAAAGAAGTCGGCGGCGGCGTGGCTTGCAAAATATTAACGGCGGCCAGCCGCCGCCGATTTGAACCGTATCGGCTTGTATCTCTGGCGGCAACGCGTTTCACGCTTTTAAAACTTCTCGCGCTTTATAAGCGGCAAATTACACACCACGCGTTATTTAGATCTTTCTTTTAATGTTTTTTAAGACCATTACTGTTTTAAAAATCAAAATTTTAAGTTATTGTATATTTTTTAATATTTTTCTTCCATTGTAGGAGAAATTTATTTCATTTTAGTTTCTACACAAAATAAAATACAAACCTAATCAGCTGTCGACGCGTCAAAAGTTGAAAGTTGCTGAACTTTTCGCGGCAGACGCGTTACAAACTATAATGTGTAACTTGTTAAATAAAAATACATTTTTTGACAGAATCCTATAACGCTTTGCTGCGTAAAACGCGTGTTGTGTCCTTCTACCTTTACTTTTAGACTTTCATATACGCTGACTGTCTAAACCCATAATAATTTTTTTACAGTATGCATATACCCTTTAGTTTGGAGTCATTTTATTAGTATACTTTTATTTTAAGTTGAATTTTGTTCTCTACTGCTTCACCAACACAAATAAATCTATGGTAGTATGTGTTTGAGCTCCACTGATATATTAGTAATAACAATTTCTTTAATAAGCTTTTTTGCTGAAATGTTCTCAATTCTTAAATCATGTACGAATCGAGTTCATATCAAGCCCATTATGGGATTAATTCATTTGAATCAAACCAGAAATTCTCAAAATAAGTACTTTGAAAGATCACTATGACCCAAAAGGTGCAGTAGCTTAAGTGGTTAGCGCGTTTGACTACTAAGTATTACTTGGCAATATCGGCCTGGGTTCGATCCCCAGCCGCCAGCAATCAACAATTTCTGGTAATTATTAAGTTTCTATTAAAACTAATATTTATACTATATATACTTAGCTTAAATTAATTCGCCTACTTAACACCAGAAGCGCTGCAACTCCGTACTAAAAACAATCATAAGGCGCAACTACAGTGTCGTAATTAATAAAAATAAGCTTTCCTTCTTCTTTCACCACCTTTCCTTTCCCTTTCCAAAGAAATTAACACGGTTTATACTTAAGGGTCCTTCAGACGATCACACTTTACGTACGACAAGTCTAATGTTTCACTTTTTTTGTATGTGTTTGCATAAAAATACATCTCTGATCTAATGCGACTTGCTTGTGTTTTGATTCATTTCAAAAAATGAAGAGAGCCATACGACTGTCAAATTTTCCATCCGTATTTTCTCTCAATGTATGATGGTTTCATCTCATCTACACAACATTTTGACAGATCATATTTCTTGTGTGCTCGTGTGAAGGGGGTTTTATAGGCATTAATTGCCTTAGTTTTACTTATCTTTTAAAAAACAGACAGAAATTAGAATTTTCGCACTGTGTTCCAATCCGTAATTCAATCAAGAATTTTGTTCTTGGTTTTAGGAAAACCGTTATTACAAACCGCTCCGAATTGATTTGAGTACGGATTACTCAATTATTTTTTTTGCTTATGTGTTCCAAACATTTCTATACTTTTTAAAAATGACACTAACAAAGCCCAAATATTCGTTTACACACGATTTTAGCAATATTTTGTACAGATTTTATATTTATACCTAGCCGAAGAATGAAATGCCTCATTTCTGCTTTCTTTGCCACGATTATACAAACAGATAAATACTATGGAAGTAGATAGTTTTTAAAGTTTAAGATGCAAAATCGTGTAAATATTGAAACTTAAATGTTAAAATGTTCTATAATATGAAATAAGTCTATAAAAAAAGAAGATACTACATAAAACATACTTATACCTCGTTAAAACTAAAAAATTAAATTTTAATATATTTTTTTATTTAATTTAAAAATATTACGAGCCATGTCATATTTGGTGTCTGAGTCAGTATGTGTAAGATGTAGATTATTGCAGTGGATTTTAACATATATACATACGTATTACAAGGATTTCCAATTTCTAAGGGCAGTGTATACTCGGTCTCCATATCTTCAATGCAATTGTCGAACAGTGTTACGTTAATGAGATTTGGTGTAAATTGTAGGTTTGCCGATCCACACATTGCACCGCTTTGATTCTCTTCACTCATGCTTAAGCTTTCGCCAATGGGGCAACATTTCTTTAAGCGCGAATTTTTATGTCGATAAATGTTCTTGCGTTTTTGTCTTTGAGAACAGTCTTTTGGGAAATTATCCAATTCTAAGACTGGTGTTGTCGTCTCAGTATATCTGAAATATAAGAATACGTAATAAGCACATCTATTTAAATAAATCCTAAAACCAACAGTAATGATGTGAGGATATTTATTTTGTTATACTACAGTGTTTATCATTCAAGAGTGTTATATTCAGCTATGCCGAATCTTATATACCCACCATCAAAATACGTTCCAAAAATTTAAAGAGAATTTGTGAAGGTTATTTGTTGAATGTTACCTTATGTAAAGTGGTCTATATACCTTAGAGTGCTCCAAAAAAACGAAGTTGCGAATTTTGCCCGTCCCCCCTCTAGAATTGTTCTTTGGGTTGTAAAACTATGTCATACAAAAAATTAAGCTGATAGGATAACGTTAACAGGTGCCCCAACGGCTCTGAAGTTTCCAAGTGCATTTACAAGGGGAAAATATCGATTTTTTCAGTTTTTGGTACACAGAGTAAGCATTTCGGAAAGATATAAAACACAAAAATTGCTTGAAAACTTTAAAAGTTATAGCAAATTCCCCAAGCCACTAACGTGTCTCACAGCAAATAAATTCGAAATGTGACAAAAAAAATACTTTTTTGGGATATATTCTAAAAAAAACATTTTGTTTTAACATCTAGAGTTACTCGAATATTAGTTTTTGCCCTTATAAGATAACTCTAACTCGTTCTCAGCTATGGTCAAAAAAGTTTGATTTTTTCAACGGCCATTTCAAATCTCCAATTTCAGTTTTTTTGAAACTTTGTTAAACAAATTTTAAAATTTTTAGGAGATCTCATGGGGATAGATAAGACTATTAAATAGATAAGGCTATTAAACGCTAAAAAAGCTGTACCTGCGATTTGAACTCGGCGGATTTCGGGAAAATCGCATTTTTTTAATATTTTAGAGAATACGTATTAATTATTTACTGTTGCACATTTTACATAAATTATTATCAGAATGTTATAGTCTAGATAATATAAAATATATATCCGAAGTTTTATTAAAAGCGGAAATTCTTAACCCAGAAACTATGGATGGAGTTCAAAGGTCAAATTTTGCAATATTTGTGAATTTTTAGTGTACCATATCGAAATAATATTTATTTGTCGGCCATATTTACCAAAAATGACTGAAATTTATCGTATATAGTCCGATATTTAAAATAGAGTGAAAAAGGGTAGATTAACCCCTTAAGGTACTTGGGAATAATTTAACACCAAAGTTCAAAAATTCGAAAAAGCACTATCTATTTGAATAATGCTCTATATAATTAGAGGAATAACAGAAATAAAACAAAAAATTCTATATTTAGTATAAAAAATTATACCTTAACCCTTTTTGACTATGGAGTAAACTTGAGGTGCACATTTTTAAAAGAAAAATTTTGTTTTTAAAACTGATAATTTACGTAATCCTTTTTTACGGTCGATTTTCAATGTAATATGTCTAAAAATACAAACTTTATATTGTCAAAAAGGGTTAATTCATAAGTTTTTATACTTAATATAGAATTTTTTGTTTCATTTCTGTAATTCCTTTAATTATATAGATCATTATTCAAATAGAGAGTGTTATTTCGAATTTTTGAACTTTGGTGTTAAATTGTTCACTATATTCTAAATATCGGACTATATACGATAAAGTCCAGTCATTTTTGGTAAATATGGCCGACAAATAAATATTATTTCGATATGGTACACTAAAAATTCCGAAATATTGCAAAATTTGACCTTTGAACTCCACAGTTTATGGGTTAAGAATGTCCGATTTTAATAAAACTTCGGATATATATTTTATATTATCTGGACTATAATGTTCTGATTATACTTTATGTAAAATGTGCAACAGTAAAGAATTAATACGTATTCTCTAAAATATTAAAAAAATGCGATTTTCCCGATATCCACCGAGTTCAAATCGCAGGTACAGGTAAACTGTAAGAAATATTGATCTAATTTTTTACCGTTTATTAGCCTTATCTATTGACCATAAATCCCCATGAGATCTCCCAAAAATTTTTAAATTTGTTTAACAAAGTTTCAAGAAAACTAAAATTGGAGAGTTGAAAAGGCCGTTGAAAAAATCAAACTTTTTTGGCCATAGCTGAGAACGAGTTAGCGTTATCTTATAAGGGCAAAAACTAATATTCGAATAATTCTAGATATATTTTAAGTAACAAAATGTTTTTTTTAGAATATATGCCAAAAAAAAGTATTTTTTTTTGTCACATTTCGAATTTATTTGCTGTGAGACACGTTAATGGCCTGAGGAATTTGCTATAACTTTTAAAGTTTTCAAGCAATTTTTGTGTTTTATATCTTTCCTAAATGCTTACTCTATGCACATTACAATTTCTTTACAATAAAGTTCAAAACTTATTACTAAATGAAAAAAATCGATATTTTCCCCTTGTAAATGCACTTGGAAACTTCAGAGCCGTTGCGGCACCTGTTAACGTTATCCAATCACCCTAAATTTTTGTACGACATAGTTTTACAACCCATAGAACAATTCTAGAGGGGGAATGCCTGTCAGACAAAATTTTTTTTCCTTCATACAAGCTTGAATCACTCTAATATATATAAATCGATAATTTTGTTGTTTGTTACCACGTTATACTCAATTATTTATTTATTTGATTTATGCTGAATTTTTCGGAAAGAACCGAACTCTACAGAATTCGAAAGAGTCATAAAAGTTTTAAAACAAAACACTATATTATAATAATAACAATAAATAAAATGAAAGATTTAACTGATTTTCTATTACTGTACATATATATGAGGTAAGGAAAATTATGAACCGATCCACACAATATGTAGTAGAGGGATTTTGGATTCTATAAAAATTATTTAAATGAAAAAAATGAAAAAAATCGATATTTTCCCCTTGTAAATGCACTTGGAAACTTCAGAGCCGTTGCGGCACCTGTTAACGTTATCCAATCACCCTAAATTTTTGTACGACATAGTTTTACAACCCATAGAACAATTCTAGAGGGGGAATGCCTGTCAGACAAAATTTTTTTTCCTTCATACAAGCTTGAATCACTCTAATATATATAAATCGATAATTTTGTTGTTTGTTACCACGTTATACTCAATTATTTATTTATTTGATTTATGCTGAATTTTTCGGAAAGAACCGAACTCTACAGAATTCGAAAGAGTCATAAAAGTTTTAAAACAAAACACTATATTATAATAATAACAATAAATAAAATGAAAGATTTAACTGATTTTCTATTACTGTACATATATATGAGGTAAGGAAAATTATGAACCGATCCACACAATATGTAGTAGAGGGATTTTGGATTCTATAAAAATTATTTATATCGATTTTTACCGCTATACGTACTTCCTAATGTTAAGTATAAAACATATTTTTGTCGAATTTCATTGATACAATGGTAATTGTAAGCCAATGGTGAGCGTTAAGGTAATTTTCTGAAGGGACTTTCTAAGGGTAGTAGAGTCAATTATGTACCTATGTCCGCCATAATTTTTTCTTGGATCAGCACTCAGGGGATGACTCGTACTTATGTAGCGTTTTGGAACTAGGAATATAGTTTGTGGGAGGTAGGATAGAGGAAGTGGTATTCGTGGACATCAGATTTAAATCTTTTGCTAAAAACAGTGTGCTTCGTTACCATAAAAACAATATAATATATAAATTTCATTGATGCAATGGTAATTGTAAACCAATGGTGAGCGTTAAGGTAATTTTTTGAAGGGTAGTGAGTCAATTATGTACCTATGTCCGCCATACCTTTTTATTATATATAAAGATTATAACCATTTTTATGCATTTGTTTTGTTTAAATATAAACAAACCAAATTAAAAGTTTTGAGAAAAAAATTGATTAATGTTATATGAATGATTTATTTTCTTATTAAAATGAGAAAATTACGTATTTAACTCCCATGTGAAAACTTCTGAACATTTTCGAGTAATTTTGTTGACAACCAATTCCAGTTCTCTATGTATTTTGAAAATAATCACAATATTCTTTTAATTTAATAACGTTAAAAGATAAATCTTTTTGAAATCTTGTACGTATAACAACGTTAAATTATTATTAATAGGAGTATTTTGCAACAAAATTAACTATTGAACATTTTCTTATTTATTTATTTACAAAGTTGATAAACATAATTATTTTTTTCTTATTTTTACTTATTTTTATTGCTATTATTACATATCTAATACTTATAGCATTATATATAACTTACATATACACTATGAAAAGGAGGCATTTCAAGATTACCTAAAAAAACTGCTGGCCAATTGGAATATTGTGAAATATTCATCTATCCAATATTACCTAGATTAGAGTCTTTTTCACAAAATATAACCTTTTAACATTTTTCTGGGATTTTATTTACAAATTTGTAAACAATAAAATTATAAATTTTAGGTTTTATTTTAAAAGAAATCAATAATTAGTTTTCGATATTAATCTTAAATTAACGAAAAAAGCTGAGATCTGAGAAAAAATGTTTAAAATTTTTGTTGGTTAGTTTACAATAAATATCTTATACTTGTCAATGGTTAAATGAAGGTATTTTAAGCTATTTGACTTTTATGAATTAATAAAATTTGATTTAATTCACAAAAATAAATTTTGATCATGGTTTTGAAAATTAAGATGACATATGGAAATAGATGATAGAATGACATATGGAAATAGATGACAGAAAGAGGACATAAATTTTAAAGATGACATCCAGTTAAAATATATGATTGTCCTCTAAAAAAGAGGACGTATGCTTTGGATAGAGGAAGTGGTGTTCGTGGACATTAGATTTAAATCTTCTGATACCATAAAAACAATATAAATAAAAAACCCTGTATGATTTATCTTACTAACTTTTTTAGTCCGCTACTCCAGGAAAATTAGGCCAAAAATGAACAATCTGGGGAATTTCAGATAGCTAAATGAAAATTTGCTCATAGCTTCTTCTAAGCATAATTAGTATGTGATTAAAAGTCACAGAAAATATAACGCAATTAAGTGTTATATATCTAATAAAATTTC